TACATAAATACATATATATACACACTCATTCTTTCATTTTTAAAATAAGAAGGCGTTTAGGGTTTATCCCCTTCAATCTTCGTTAAATCTTAATACCTGGTAAAATTTTTGTTTTGTTTTGAGTATTTATAAGTTATTCTTGCAAAGATTTAGTGTAGATTAAGTAGGAAACTTTATACGTTTACCATAAAAAGCTTTATATGAATGAAAAACAAATTTCAAGAGCCTATTATGGAAGAATAGATGACCATTTTCTGCAATTGAGCTTTGAGAAAAAGTCGAGTTAAGTTAACTTATGTGGGGAAGAGAAAAATGATCTTAATAGTTTCACTTTAAGTGAATAATCTTCTCGTGAGTGTTAGAAATAAAATTTTAAGATAATTTAGAAAAATATTTTTTTTTGTTCTTTTTGGAACAAAGCCATACCAAATTGATGCATGAAGTATTATGTATAGGTCGAGAAATGCCAATAAAAATTGGAAGGAAATTAGCAATATTAATTTATCACTATTTTATTTAAAGTATTATTAAAGGGTCTTCTACTATTACTAGTCCATTGCCACATTATATATATATATATAACTCAATAGGGCATCTATATATGAACAAGAAATGTAATTTCTTAAAAATTTGGTGTGCTTATCTCAGAACACAGCAGCAAATTTATGAGATTTAGCTGATAAAAGTTGAAGGATTAATGTGACATTTTGAAAATGATCGGAAGGATAAAGCTAAGTATAGCAAGATCAGACATAATTAAGCAAATATATTTATTATTTAAACAGAAGAAAATTGAACGTTAATTTTGCCAATTATTTATTGTAATTAAAAAAAGAGATCCATATTTTACACGTAATTATAAGAAAAGAAGAATGATTTCACCTTTCAAATCTCCCGTGCCTTGATATATATTCTTGCCAATTGGAAATTTGATGTCTTTGTGTGTGTGTGTGCTTTGGCACCAAGAAGTCTTTATGCAAAGTCGATGGATATATATAAAGCTTTTCTGCCTTTTAATATTCTTCTCTCTTAGCGATATCCCCATATTCTCTTCCTTGTCTTTTGATATGAAAAGTTGAAGAATCTTTGCCAACTAGCTACTGATTCTGATCATCTCTCAATTTGCTTAAATTATCATTTTGCTTCAAGTCGAAGTGATTGTAAGAATTAACCAAACAAAATCTGCTGCAAGCTTACATTACAAGTTATAGATATATCATAATAAAGCATACCATAATTAATACACAAATCAATTGCTTAAACCAATCAATTTTAATTGGTATTGATCAATGATTCGTCTTTGAAAGGCACCCATATTAGTCCTTCAATGAATATAGCTATGGCGCATGATAATCATAGACAATAATTAACATTAATAATAATTAGTTGATCAGAAGGCACTGCTTTCTTCAAGATCATCTGATTCACTCGAAGAGGCTGCAGTGATGCCACTGGAATTCGACGATGACGAAGAGGAACAATTAGGACCTGAACTAGTACCAATCTTCTCGCCATCTCTCACTACAAAATCAAAGAATTTAAGCTGACCCATCTCAGCATTATAATTTTTGTAACCTTGATTAGCACCAACGTGATCCCCATCATCATTTTGATCACTGCTTGATCTTTTCCTCATGTACACATGACAAATAACCCACTTCTCCATTTCGCTCAGCACATTCTGCACATAGATTTACATTGAGCCAAAGTATTAATTATACATATATATATATATATATGTATGTATATATATGCATGATCAAGTTAACTAATTAACAACATAGAATTTACAATTAAGTAATGTGTATACATATGAGTACAGTGCAATAATCTTAATTTGATAATATACTGTAATGATTACTTGCCTGGGTTAAATTATGGTTATGATATGGATATGTGTTAACAAGGCGATATTCATGCATGACCCAGCTGGTTCTAAAACCATGAGGAGGTTTGCCTTTATAGAAAACCAAGGTCTTCTTCATCCCAACCATCTGATTCTTTCTTGGAGATGAAATCTGCCTGTCTGATCCAGTTGCCTTCCAATAACCCGAAACAGTTGCTCTATTGATCCGATTCCCATTTCGATATTTGGCTTCCTTACTGCTGAAGAAGTACCTCTCTTGCTCCAATTCACCTAATCAAAGGCAAATGCATTAACGTGGAAACCATATGTATTTTAGTAGAATTTTACAAATTCATCAAATAGAGAATATATACATACCAATCATAATATAAGAGAAAACAGCATGCTATTGAAAGCACACAAGAATATGCTACGACTCAAACTTACAGTCTCAAGATGTATTAGTCCTTTAGCTAAGTGTCGTTTGGTATGTATATATATATGTATATGTGCACGCCTATATTCATAGAGCAAAGACCAACCTGGCAGATCCCAAGGATCGTACTTGCAAAGATTGACATCAGGAATGATGGAAGCCGGCAAGGGAAAAGAGAAGACCTTGCATTTGAGGTACCGAAAAACAAGCTCTTCATCTGTTGGCTGGAATCTGAAACCAGGAGGTAGTCTCATGGCTCCATCTCTGACAAAATTGAATTTCGCCATTTTCAGAATCCTTGAGAATGATGTAATTCTGGTCTGCGTACCTGAAATGGCTAGCCCTTTGATTGAGTAAGTATTTATAATGAGGTAATTCTGCCCTTTGAATGGCGACCTGTTTACTACCAGGCTGTAGAATAATTAATTAATTAAGATTGATATAGAAAAAATTGAGAGAGAAAGAGAAGACGATGAGTTTGGTCAGAGAGTAAGTGGATATATGATAAATATATATATATATATAGCAAGGGTGATGTGGTGGACGATACGTTGGGTTTGGGGAGGGACAATAATAATTTTAGTAGAAATTCAATTAGTAGCGCGTTTATTACTTGTTTGACAAAGAAATAAATATAACCATAAATTAAATTATAAAGTGATTAGATTGCCTTTAAAAATGGTATCCAACGTAGACCATAGCATTTAAAGAAAGCTTCAGATTATATATATACGTACATATATACACACACACTAAAAGGAAACATTATATACATATATATAATGTGTATATATATTAAAAAGTGAAATTTTGAAAATAATTGGGCTCTTTTTCCATTTTGATCTCTATATTATATTATATACATTATCTATTTAATAAATGCTAAAATATATTTTAATTTCCTCTAAATTATGTACTAAATGATAAAAATAAAATTAAGGCGATAGTATTATTATGTTGTTAGTTTTTAGTTCAGTACAACCTTTAAAATTTATGTATTATATATATATATATATATAAATTCTTAATAACTTATTTTTTTATGAATACATCATTCATTTTGTAGATTTTTCATAAAAATTAAAGTATAATAATATACAATATATGTACTACACAGATATTGTTTATATTTTTAAACTGATAATTTTAATATATTGTTAAGGAAATAGTTAATTTATCTGCTTGAGTTATTTGATTGTATTATATAACTAATTTTTGTTAATCAACTTCAAATAGAGCATATTGAGATGATTTTATAATATTTAAATGTAATAATATTTTTTATATTTTCATTTACAAGTTTTTTATATAATTTTTTTCATTTAAATAATATTTATTTATATTATTTAATATAATTATAAAATTATGTGAGTAGCATATATACAAATCTTAGTTTAGTTATAATTTTAGGATCAAAATTTTCTTCATAAGAATGTTGTAAGGTTAAAGATTCTAATGACTCAACTATCACAGTTAACTTAAAACAACAATATATGTTGGACAGTTGAAGTTGGTAGAAATAAAATTGGTTCAACACATTTTCAAAATTATTTAGGTTGTTTCTCTGGTTACTATCTTAATTTATAGAACTAATTTTGTACATGCTACACTATTCTGTGGCTATAATAATGACCCTGGTAACCAGAGTGAATAATACAACAAATAAATATAGAATTAGGGTTCCTATTTCATTTAAGTATACTTGAATATATATATATATATATATATTATAAATATAAAATTAAGCTACTAATTAAAGAAACAAACAAAAATATCACATTAATTTGGTAATAATTACGTTGACCCTTTTGTATGAGATTTTTATATATGATTATTTGTTTCATTGATATATATATATATATATATAAAGCTTTAATTAAAGTGACTTAGTGAGTAAGTTTCAGAAGATCAATGCATGGTCTAATCTAGTCTTCTGATTGACTTATAGATGGTGAATTCACCCATTTATGGTTCTATTTTATCTTTAGTGATTCTGGCTTTAAAGCCTTTCTCTTTTGAGAAAAATAAGAACTTGGTTGCTAAAGGACATGGAGCTTTTAACCTTTCCAACGTGTACATATTAGAATTATAATCAACATATGTGTATATGTGTTTATACAGCCGCTACTATTTTCTTTTTCTCCAAAAGAGAAAAAAGTTTTTATGCCACAATATTTTTAGTTTCTTAATTTTGTGCGCAAATTTTGGTAGTTGAGTTATGTAAGAAATCAAAAAAAAATAAAAATACGCACATTAAAAAGATATGCTTTTATGATACCCACATAGAAAAGTGAAATTTTGAACGAAGGAGACAAATTTCTTGAGTAGGAATTTGGATTGGTACTTTCCTTCACTACGAAGATCTTACTTTTGTTTTTCTGTTTTTTTTTTTTTTTTCTTCTTTTATTTCATGTGTAATGTTGATCAAGATCTTCAGCCTCAAAAGATATATATATAGATATAGATGCATACACAATTTGTATATACATGTTTCAAAGTCTTCATTAATTTGCTTGAAACAACATCAACAAAATTAATTATAATAATTATTATATGTACATGTAATATCTGGAGTTGCTATTGTAAAATTTAACATAATATTCTGTTTATAATATTTTTACATAAAGATTGAGAAAAATATAATTATGTAATATAGAGATTAATATTTGACATAGTAATAAAATATCAAGTTTAGTTAAACTTTTAATGTAATGATAAGTTGCGACAGTCCAAACTCTCATTTACAGTTCTGACCGTACGCACATCATATCATGATAAAATAATTTATAAAAATATTTCAAGTAACAAATTTTAAAATAATAAAAAGTACATCATTTGCATACTTAGTTCAAAATATCAAATATTCATAAGACATATCTAAACTCTAAAATAAATACTCACTAAAAATAAAATGATTAACATTAAGTACTGTTTAAAATAAAAATTAAACGATCTCCTAACAAATCTTTCATTGTTCATGACCAGAGTTTTGAATATTCTGATTTGAAAAAAATGATTAATAAATAGAATGAATTTAATATGCTCAGTAAGTATGTAAGTACCATAAACAATAAAGTAACTCATTTAAGTTGGTATAAAATATAAAACTACTGATATAGACAGTTTAAAATACTTTTTTCTTTAGTTCAGAAAAACGTAATATTTACACTCTAATTCATTCACTAAACCCTATAAATCAATTTGTTCGATAAATATCAGGATTCAGTATAAATAGCTCAATAAACATCAGAATTCAATGTCTGATAAACAGTTCAATAAATATCATAATTCAGTATTTCAGTATCACAAGTTTTATACATAAATTTCTATCTATTCATAATAGTTTATATCATATTGAAAATGGTTTCATCTTATTTAATAATATCACCGTTGTTGATTATTTTTATCGCTTCATCGCTCAATGCCATTTTCGCTGGTATCATCAAGGGTAGAACGAATCCCTTCAAGCTATAGGTACTAGATAATAGATAACTGATTCCCAACCACGATGTCTGGTACGAGAATTCCCAGTCAGGTCTGACTGAGACCGTATCTACAGGTAGGGTTTACCGAGATTACCTGCCAAATTAGCCACACACGCACACACCCCTCTTTGACACTGGTTAAATGGATTTTCCAAACCTTTTAATAATTATCTATTTATTTCAACTCGCTAATAAACTCCCTAAGTTTATCATTTAATATTTTTTATATCTATAACACACATATTGTAAATATTCATTACCCTAAACTTTTTTAGGTATCTTTAATATATTCACAATTACATAGCAATTAGTACATTTACAAATTTAGTTACAAAATATAATAGAATAATTCATCAGTAATTTCAATAATAAACATAAATAAAAACACAATAATATAGTAAAATTTTATCGAAATCTTGCACCTAATTTTTAATTATTAAACTAATTAACTAGAGATCACCTACCGAGTACTGTTAGTAATTTGCTTAAACATATCAAACTATATTTTTAAGCACTTACGCACTTACTTGATTTTCGTCTAAATTTCGTTCGTAAAATTATTTCAAATGTACAAGATCAATTTGTTACAGTGATATCCGTATCAAGTTAGTAATGAATTGGTTATTCATTAATTTCAAATATCCGTGTCTAAACTTATTCCTAATTTTAAACTAAATAAATCATTTATTGTATTAAAATTAAATAGAATTAATAAATTTTAAATATAAAATAGTAAACCATCAGAAATTTTTGAACTCACCTACTGGAAGCAGGTCTTTAGGACTCACTGCGCACAACCATCAGAAGTCCATGCGCCTCCACACGCACTGCCGCTGCCCACCACCGGTCGTTACCGCTCGCCACCGATCGTCGCTGCGGATTAGCCGAAATTCACCGCAGAGTGCTTCACGCCCTCAAATCCAGCACAGATCTGGTGGAATCATGCCGAAGGGAGCTGCGGAACAGCCAAACACATGTCGAGCTGTCGCGCAAAACGTCTTCTTCTCCTGCGCACCGCCGCGCGTAGCAACGGCCTTTCTTCCTCTTTTTTCCTCATCTTCTTCCTCCTATCCTCTCTCGGCTGCCGACTGACGCTAGCTGCAATCCTTGTCTCTCTATTTTCCTCTCTCTCTCTCTCTCTCTCTCTCTCTCTCTCTCTCTCTCTCTCTCTCTCTCTTTTCCTGCACCGATCTCCTTCCCTACCTTTGTGTTTTATAGGGAGGGGTGGGAAAAGTCCTGCACGACCCTTCTTCCCTATCGTACTGGTCTCATCTCCTCCTTTTTCGGCCGAT